TTGAGCTACTTCGTAACCGAGAGAAATCTATACATGAAGGGTGGATATGATAAAATTGTCAATTGGGCTGCTAGACCCCTTCAGAAGGATCCCGAGACAATTAAACTGGGAGAAATTGTCAAGAACATCCAGTGGGGTGAGAGCGACAATTCGATAGTGGTTGAGACTTTGAAAGGTGACAAGAAGTCTACTTTCAAAGCTGATGCTGTTGTTGTCACCGCACCTCTTGGTTGTTTGAGAAAAAAGATGATCAACTTCGAGCCAGCTCTCCCTGAAGATATTCAGGAAGGAATCGACAACTTTTCCTATGGAGCCCTTGGAAAAGTTTTTGTCGAATTCGAAGAGGTGTTCTGGCCAAAGGACAATGATCAATTCATCTATTACCCATCCCCTCTCCCAGAGGGTACTCCAATTGACGAGTAAGCAAGTCCTTTCCCAAGCTATCAATTTATAAGACTAATTCCAAATAGGTCTTCGATCTTGTCCTATGCCACAGTGACTTCCAATTGTTGGATCATGTCTGGCACCAAGGAGCTCTGCATCCAAATCGCCGAACCTCTTACCCAACGAGTTGAAGCCATGACCTCAACCAAGGACATCTATGCCTTTTTTGAGCCGTTGTTCAAACTCATGCGTACAGAACCCTACAAGGATCTTCCTGACCTCCTCAACCTCGAGACAACCCACTGGACCCAAGACCCACTCGCAGGATTTGGATCCTATTCTGTCGAGAAAACCGGCGACGAATCCGAACTTTTGATCGAAGCCCTCGAAAATCACAATCGCAGTCGTCTTCAATTCGCCGGTGAACATTGCACCATCGTCGGAAACGGTTGCGTCCACGGAGCATTCGAGACGGGAGAGGTTGCGGCTAGAAACCTCTTGGAAACACTCGGAGTGGCATATGATGGGAATGATACTACGGCTCGAAGTGTCTCCCCTTGAGCGTAAGCGTTTCTCGTGTCTAAGAGGTGAGATGAGATAAGAGTGATGACTTGAACTTGCTACGTATTCCTTAAATGGCTTTCGTGAGACTTGTTAGTTCTTTGACCTTGTGCGTCTTGATTTATTTGATTTTTAGTTTTTGCTCTTTTTATTAGTTATATCATTGTTGCTACAGTCATTACCGTTATCATAGCTATGGCTATTATATTTGCTATTACCTATACAAATTAACATACACATCGCGATACTACTTGTTCCTCTTTGCTCCAAAAGATCGAATGTGAGTTGGCGCGTCTACTTCGATTTTGTATCTTGAGACAAGATGCTTTGGCGAGTTTGTATCTGCCTCGTTCCGTTTTCATAGCATCATTGCTTGCTTGGTATCTTCTTTTCGTCTCTTTACATTACACTGTGATCGTATGCATATTCGCCTCTTTGTAATTGGAAAGTTTGTTTTGCAATTCAGGTGTAAGGTAATAGTACCTTTTTCTTCACTGCGCTAGACTTGAACTCACGGCTATATATTGTATGATCATCTCTCCCACCCTAGATGTAACTAACCATCAAACGAAATTTCCGATTTGCAAGTCCGAATTGATAAAAGCAAAGCCGACATAAAACACGAGCTCTACACCGATATACTATCAGTTCCTTTATAAGATCTCACATTACATTTATAAAAATAGAAATACATCACTCACAGGTACAAATTCCTTTTTGATGGAATGGATAGAGTGTATTTTGTTAATGATCTATCGAAGAAATATATTCCGTATCTTTTCCTTGTATGAAATCTTGGGGGAAATCTTGGGGGAATCTTGGGGGAAATCTTGGGGGAAATCTTATGAGAAATCTTAGGAGAAATCTTAGGAGAAATCTTAGGAGAAATCTTAGGAGAAATTTTAGGAGAAATCTTAGGAGAAATCTTGGGGATAGTGGTTATGGATTTATGACTAGTAGGATCTGTGTGTATTTTGATTTTTTTATGGTGGGGTTGGGAGTGAGAGTGAGAGTAGGGAATTGGTAATTCTAGATATCCAATATGTCATTATGTTATTATGTTGAAGAGATGAAGAATAAGATGGGATGGGATGGGATGGGGTTTAGGCTTGAGAATCGGGATGTGATGGATAGATGGATGGATGCATAGAGAGAGGAATATATAGAGAGAGGAATGGTGTCTGCTTGGGAGATAGATGGTTATGTAGTTGTGGATGGAGATATTGTTGGCTAGGAGATTTAAAGTAGACTCAAGGTAGGTAGGTTATTGTGTATTTGAGCCAGATTTTATTTCTACATTATCTCTTCCCTTAATTCATTGCTTCATCTTATATATATGTACACATAGATCGTATCATCTAAATTATAAAATAAGCAAACATTCCAATTCTCTTCATTCCCCACCTACTTCCCCGGAATCTCTTCAGAAACCTCTTCACATCTAAGGTAATTCCATAAACAACTTCAACAACTTAGGGTAATTTGGAGTTCCCAATCCAGTCGCTGGATCCCATCCCTCTACCGCTGCAAACCCCTCTGTTCCACACCCAACATTTGTTCCATTAACAATATCATTTAACGCTCCTGGGTTTTTATAAAGCGTTGGGTTAACAAATCCAATTGGTCCCTTGCCCTTTGCAAATCTCTCTTCATTGATCAAAGTAAAGACCGATGCGAAGAGTGGAGATGCAAGACTGGAGCCATACCAATGCTCATCGATACCAGCAGTATACGCTCTAAATTCTGCACCATTGGCAGCAATATCTGGGTAACCACGTCCGATACGGTTGTAGATACCTTTTGTTGTGTTGACGTTGACTTCAAATTCCGAGTAGTATGGATATGTGAGCTTAGCCCTTTTGAAGTATTTCTCTACTGCAGATTTTTGGTAGGATGGGATGGGGAAATAGTTGGAGAAACCACCTGCGCTGGTGAAGTTTGAGGCGGTACCGCCGAGATCGACGTGCATGACGGATTCGGCATCATTGACAGTTTGGTCGGCGTAGAGCATGGTTCCGCCAACGGAAGTGATGTATGGACAGTTACCGGGGTATTGGGGGTTGAAGATTTTGCCCTCGGGGCCGAGACATCCATTTGCGTTGCCATCGCCAGGGAAGGAAGAAACTCCATAATCACCGGATGCAGTAAGGATTGAGTGACCTTGAAGACCGAGTTTCATGAATTCGTTGCATTGACGTTTTGTATAGGCAATTGGAAGATCGGCTTCAGCTTGACCATATGATGCAGAAATGACCTTGGTAGGTTTGAAGATTCCGCATTGGCGCGTTCCATTGTACCCACCAGGTTGGGGATCAGGGTAAACGGGATCAATTGATGGGTCATCTCCGGTCTCGCCGTATGCACTGTAGCTGCAGTAGGACTAAAGGAAGGTTAGTGATGGCTTGATTGTAAAAGTTGATTAACTTACTCCGTCAAGTGCATCAAGGAAGGTATTGAACAAATTGGTCGTTGCAACTTCTTGTGGCTCGTAGATTTGATCATCCACTTGGTAGAGGGTGACAGTCTGGGGATAGATAAGAGCAAATGCCATATCGATGTCGATGTCAGACTCGCCTCCATTTAGTTTACTGGAGGCAGGGACGGAGAAATTTGCACCGTCGATGAGTGCCGGGATGGGGTATGTGCCTTGAGGGACCCAAGGAGCGTACTCTGCATAGAAGAGATCGAGATCTGACTTAGCAAAGTAATCTCCTTGCTCGTATAATCCGAGAGAGTTGCCTGAAGCATTTAAGGTGGCAGTAGGGATTTTGTACATGGCCTTGATGCAAGTGGGTGTCATGTTCGAACCACAACCTTGAAGGTCGCTTGGAAGATTGGCAGCTGAAGGTGGTGTCCAATCATAAGTTTGTGAAGATGGATTGCCCTTTGCAAGACGATTCTTTCTCTTGGAAAGGTAAGGTGTGGATCTCTTGGCTTTCACGCTTCTCTTCTTGACTGGTGCAAGCTTGACACCAGGTGTGATGTAATCAATATGTGGTACGAGATGCTCTGGAAGATGGTATCTGGAGTCAGGTTAGTAGAGAAATCTTTCAAAAGTATGATGAACAACCCTACTCATCACATCCGACCCGAACACTTGAACTAAATTTATGTTCGTGTTCGTGAAACTCGGCATTGAGTAAACGTTCGGCTTCTTCCACCGAAGCATCAAAAGCTAACCACCCTTTATTTTCATAATGAGAGATTCGAGAATGATGAATTCCGGACGAAGCAAGCCAGGCTTTGACCGACTTAAGAGTTTCCTCTGGAGGGGCGAACTTGTCGTGGACTTCTTTTGGGGACCAATATTTGCCATAATTAGCAGATTCTGGATCGGAACTAAAAGTTGTTAGCATCAATTGGTTCCTCCCTCTGGTGCAACTCAACGAGAGACTTACAGCTCCATAAGGTATTCATAGCCATTTTCAAGATTGGTTTGTGTCAAACCAATTCTCATTGGCACAATTGCACTTCCTTCCAATCGGGAGCCCTTCACCCAATCCGATGGTGGTGCATTTCGCTTTTCATGCACTACATGCTTGACTGAGGAGGGGGCGGCATTTACAATTGCTGCAATGGCAAGAGAGACAACAGATACTGGTACCAACATGTTGAAGTCCTGAAAGAGAAGACAGAAGCGTGAAGAGGATTATGTTGAAAGGAGCAGAAAATGGCCCTTTTAAGTTGTCCGGTGATCGACCATTTGGTCGTATAATTTTGAGATGCAATCTAATTGTCCATGATAATATGCAGTAACTCCTGCAGCTTTCCATGCTTGATATCGGATAAGAATGATAGTTACTCGTGCGGCCAGAAAGTATGCAACTTCGGCGCTATGAAAACCAGGTTAGTCCTCTTGTAGTTAACCATCTTGTGATATGTGCATCTAGCGTCGGAGTTGCATACTTTCTGGCAGCACGAGTATGGATCTCGTATATTGTGTCGATATCTAATCGGGAAGGTCGTAGAGCGGGGAAAGCATGGAACCCCATCTTTGCTACCTTACCAACAATGATTGGCGGGATTGATCTTATTGTACCTGAATGAAAAGCTTATCATGTCGATGAAGACAGGATGCGGTCCAAGATGTTGGATAAGCTTTCATTTTCCGAAAGCTTGTTCTTTGCCTTTTTGCCGATGTCAATTACTTGATTCTTGGCTGTAAGCAGAGACAACGGTGCAACGGCAATGGCACGATCAGAATGTTCGTGATATGGCTGTGTGTTAAAGTCGTGATGGTTGAGACAATCGAGCTTTGCGTGAAGCATACCAAGTTTGAACAAGATACCGAAAGAAGTACTGGGAGAGTCATTTCGAACCAAGTGAAAGGGCATTTTCCCTCACCGGACGTAGGTAGCTAGCTTACTTTGAGAGCTGCAATTCATTTGCGATAAGACCAGGGATCTGGTGGATCGAATTTCAATGTTGTCTTCGTAAATCTTGATGACAAAGTTGATCAATCCTTGTCCACAATCTAACCCAGGCTGTTATGTTAATATTCGGAACGAGTTTGTGATTGTCCCACGAGTCCAAAACATCAACTCTGAATCGTCCGAATAATAATAATATCAGGACAACAATGTTTCACCGAACATTCTTGAGCCACAACCACAGCCACGCCACACGCGAACAAGCGGCGCTAGCATCTTATCCGCAAATTGTGTAGCGACATATTACGCGCACCGGAAAGGAAACAATCTCAAGGTCACTGTTTGATTGAAACATGGAGCATTCTTTTCTCCTTTTTTAGCAAATTAAGTTCTGAAGAGAGGGGGATATTTCTTCATACATCGATATCATGAAGCATCTGGATCATCTCCAAGAGATCCTCGAAAAGAAATCGCGAAAGTTGCGGAATTCTACCTACTAAACACGGGTGAGAACGGAACAACGAAGACATTGTAAGTTAATATGCTTGTTGTCATATATGTCAGAAGTCTTATAAAGTAAGTCCTCGACCTTAATCATCTTAGACACTCAACTCCCTCCCCCCACAAAAAGAATAAAACGTCTCTTTCCATGTTCACTGTTTCGAAATTGCTTGTGCCTACTGCTGTTGTAGGGTTGGGTATCACTATATATCTTCAAGATCGCCCACTGTCGGCCGCAAGGACGGCCACAATAACATCATATCAACAATTATCGCCCTCCTTTGCCAGCAGCTCACAATCGTTTTCTTCGATAATCAATCCAAGGAACCATATCAGTATTACAGATTCTTACAAGATTCGATTGTCTGAAGCCGACATTCGAAATAGGAGTGACGGAGAAATTTTGGCAACATTTACCCGTGGATTCTTCGCAGGTTGGATTTTCACCCCCGAAAGATACCTCATAGCATCATTGCAATCTCTTGGTATGAAGTTTATACCTTGTGGGTACTCAAGTCAGTATTTATTGCAATCTTCCGTCAAGAATAATGCTCAAAAAAAGACACAGAAATATCTCCAGGACCAACCTTGGAATTAAAGTCATTATCCGCCAAAAGACTACCTTCAAAAGGTTCTCTTCTTTTTGGCGGTAATTTTATGGTTCTATCCACCAAGACCGAGGATGACGGATCTCCAGACTCTCCTAGTTGCGTTGAGATTGGATATGGAGATGATCGCAAGCAATTTTCGGGAATGCATAGCTTTGAGCTCAATCATGAAAAAGCTGGAGCTACAATTTGGTATTCCAGTGTATCATGTAATCCAACTAATAATAAGAGGCCTTTTCCAAATTGGGTATTTGCATTTCATAGATGGTATGCAATAACCTTATTTAGGGATGGAATTGCAGCAGTGTTGGCGACAGAATGAATGAAAGAGCATTGATTGCAAGTAGTACCTAGCTTGCAGGAGAGAGAAGAGAAGGGGCAACTCACCATCGTGTATCAATTTTTTAAGCCTTCTCGAATTCACGATATAATTACTGTTTAGGCAGTCACTATTCCAACATATGCGGCATTTTTTCCTATTCTCACTCATCAAGCATGAAATCAAACTTTGTTGCACTAAACAAGAACTTGGCAAGAGCGATCGTGTTCCAAGCGATGGAGTTCTTATTTATACAAAGCTTCATCTCCCCATTATCTCATTCACAAGTCTTACATACAATTCTTATGACACCCTATATATACTGGATAGTGAAGTCATTATTACACATCTTTAACAAAATCACTCAAAACTCAACCTAAGCACACATCATCATCCTCTCACAGAAAAAAATCAGAAAAATCATGACAATTACAAGTTCAACCGCATCTGCCCAAAAGGCTCTCGACATCTTTTGGGAAAACAAACTCTCATCTAATGAAACAATCACCCGACGTAAGCTTACCGTTTTCCGATTCAGAAAAGATTTACATCTTACTGACCACTTCCAGCTCCAATGTTCTTCCTAAAAATATATACGAACGTCTGATCGGTGAAAATAAACCAAGCAGTCTAGTCTCTGGATGTAGCGTCAATGTTTCATACGATGTAGCTGTGAAACAATGCGAAGCCAAGGTTGCAGCTATTGTAGCAGAATGCAAACGCAATAATACTAAATACGGTGACAACGATTTTAACCTCGATGATATGGAGTATTGCCTCAGATCTCTCACAGTTACAGAACCAGACTCAGTGAGTGGAGGAGAACATATTAGATTAAGTTCTCCGAAGAAACCCACGACTACGAGGGCAGTCATACGAGCAGAAACCTTCGATTTGACCGCGACTAAAGGGCGAGAGCCTGCTTGTGCAAAGAGAATAAGTGAGATATTCGATATCCCGACATTCTTCATTGGTCATGAAGCCCATGTACAAGATATACGACAAGGATCAGAAGGAGATTGTTGGTTCATATCTTCTCTGGCGTGTCTCACTGTGGACGAAGCATTTCCACGACTTATCGACAAAACTTTGCCCGAAAAAAGCACGAAACGAAGAAGTTGGTGTGTATGGATTTGTGTTCTATCGTGATGGAGAATGGGTCTCAGAGATCGTTGATGATAAACTCTACCTCACCAATCCTGATTACGATGATTGCAATGATGATAGAAGATTGGTGTGGGATCGTTCTCATGGAAGACTTGACCCGGAAGCTTCTCGTGCGGACTATAAGAATACTTTCCAAACCGGCTCCGATGCACTGTTTTTTGGTTCTTGTGCTGATCCAAACGAAACCTGGGTACCACTTATTGAGAAAGCATTTGCCAAAATCCATGGCGATTATGATTCAATTAGTGGAGGTTGGCCTGGGTGAGCATTGCTGTACTGCATGCATTCCATAAATATGATACTGATCAATCAATAGTGAGGGTGTCGAAGATCTTACCGGTGGTGTTTCTACCCAATTTCTTACCGCTGACATACTGGACAAAGATTCTTTCTGGACTGAAGGTCTTTTGAAAGTCGGCAAGGATTTTATATTCAACACTGGTACAAGGGATTACAATCATCCTGATCCATATCAACTTGGAAGGCAAGGTATCGAAGATGATCATGCTTACTCTGTTCTTCGAGCGGTTGAATACCAGGGGAATCGTCTTTGCCTCGTGAAAAATCCTTGGGGTGAGACTGAATGGAATGGCCCATGGTCAGATGGGTCTAAAGAATGGACTCCAGAAGCACTTCAAGCACTTAATCATAAGTTTGGGAATGAAGGTATCTTCTGGACGCCTTATGAAGATTTTCTCGATCGATATGATGAAATCTGGAGAACAAGAATATTTCATTGTGATTGGTTCAATTGGCACGTTGCCCAACATTGGACGACGATCAACGTACCTTGGTCCGGAAAGTAAGTGATCCAATTGTTGTACCCCGTTTTCTCCTTTGAATTCATACAAGTATTATCGTACTGACTCTGCAGTTACAATGAAACCTCATTTCACTTTACCATTCCAGTCCCAACCACAACAGTGATAGTTCTCTCACAGCTCGACACTCGTTACTTTAGTGGTCTTACGGGTCAATATACTTACTACCTCTCTTTTCACCTCCATAAACCAGGTCAAGACTCTCACATAGTTCGCGGCTACTCTAGTGGTGATCGTTCCGCTACGACTGAAATTTTTCTTGAAGCCGGTACTTATGAAGTTTATCTTCAAATAACCGGATATCGCGATGATACACTTCCGAAGATCGAAGACGTTGTCAGAGATAATTGGCTTGCTAGAAGAGATAAACTGATCCAAATTGGTTTAAAGCATGATATGGCCTATGCTAAAGGTGTGATCCAGGAGAAATTTCCGAAGAAGTTTAAGAGGATATCTCTCGCTACACCGATTACTCTTACCACTCCTTCAATACTTACACCTCCTCCAACTCCGCTCCCAGCGTCCGCTCTTCCCATTCCTAATGAGCAAGCAGATATGTCCAAAGATGCTTGGAATGCATCATGTGTTGTAGGCCTCAGAATTTACACGAATGAGACGATAGCATCGATTGGAATAGGAAAAGTAGCGGATGCAATCAACGTTGATACAAGTCCAGATTTGACAAAGAAGGAACAGGGTATTCGTAAGCTTTTCTCTACACTTGACGATACGTTTTCGAGTAACTTACGAAAGGTCAAGATCAAGACGAAAAAGAAAACTTTTCAGATTAAGTGGAAATTTAACAATAAGGGGTGGAAGGAGGAGATACTGTTCGGTAGTGGGAAAAAAGGATTGTGGGATGGTAAGGTAGGCGCAAAAAAGCAGACGAAAAAAGAAAGGAGAAGGGAGAAAAAGAGGATTAAGAGAGAGTGCAGGGAGTAAATTGATTGAGAAGGTAATGCCTCTCTCATTGGGCTGGTGGAAAAATTGATCTGCCTAAAGCAGAATTTTGTAACTTTCATCAAAAAATTCATAACATCGGAACTTTTATGATGACATAAAAGACACACTTTCACGAAATCGATCTGTGGTCGATAGTGAAATCAATAACCGGGATCCCATCGACACCAACAAATTCACATACTGTCCATGTGAATCAGCACTGATTCATACAGAGTACTTGAATGTTTGACGTCAAGAGTAATTCTTAGACCGATTCCATAGTATCTGCAGACTTTTCATTACTTATACCCACTATGTTACCGAAATTTTGGGAGACCAGCCCGTCACAACGTGACCAGGTCTTCTAAAAAAAAAAGATCTTCAGAATTACTAAGTACTTTCAAGTATGTTTTCAAGCAGTGGAAACATGATGTTGGAAACTAGTTTCTGGGACAATTTATATAATTTATAAAAGAAAAGGAATGATCCATCATTGGTATCTCATCCCACATCTATCACATCACACATCATAAACCACATTCCACGATCGATATCTCATTTGCATTCACAAATCGAATTTACATTGGTACAACAAGGAATACATCATACAAATATTTCATTAATCGCACGGATTCGCATTCAAATGGCACCTTCAAGCTCGCATTCGAATTCCTCATCTCAACCTCGCAGTTATGCTCCGAAGGTGATGGCTGTGAGAGAATCCTCGAAAAAAGGATCTAAACCATCAAGATACACACCACCCGTAACACCCGAAACATCAACCGAATTGTTACCGGCCAATCAGAAAGCTGTCAAGAAGAAGACGGGTCCTGTGAAGAAACCGGAAGGGAAAGAAACGGGCTATGATGCTGATTCAGAACGGGATAATAGGTATAAGCTTTTTATTGAGAAGAAGAGTGGTGGGAAGAATAAAGTGGCGCAGGTTTATAGGAGGGAGGATGGGATTTGGGCGACGGAGACGGGGAATAAATAGAGGAATGTGAGGGATGGGGGAGTGAAGCTTGGTAGACGATACAATGGATGTATATGTAGCTATTTGGTGGTGCTAAGGGGCTAGTAGAATTGTATAAAGGTTACGCCTTCATCTTGTGCATATCTTTTTCTCTGGAATGTCCAGAACCTATGTTTATCATGGAACGGGTTATTAGAGGGAGCGAATTAAAACAGAAAATACACTCGGATATTTTAAATTTTCTTTTTGAGATGCCCTGGACTTAGTTTTAGGGTTCGTGCGAAATTTTTGATGTTCTCTGATTTGGTGAAATGATCAAACAATCGCTTTTGTGAGATTGGAGAAGCTGATATTTCTTCGCTCATAGCTGTTTGTTTGGATTCTGATGTTGAATCACTGGTAAGAGTGTCAACAGAAGATATCAGAAATAGTGGTCATGATCACGATCACAAAACTCGAGATCTCATATACGGAATCAATCATAGATATAAATTTTAATTCATCGCCTAAAGAATTACCATTACTCCTATCTATCTCATCAATGCGAACCCTAGGATTAACAATTTCAAGTACCATTATTCATTCTTTCTCCTACACTTTTTCCGCGGTGGGATCTAAATGCCTCAATGCACTTCCCGTTAGATACAAACTTCCTGTAACTAAACATTCCATAGCATGGTTTTGATAGCCGATTTTTGTGGCTAAGTCGATTGCAGCTGCATTGTTTGGTTCGAGGAGAATACTAGAGTTTGGAGACAGTTTTTGCCATGTTTGAGCGTAGGAACGGATGGCGGATATGTCTGAGTCTGTGATTTTTGAGGCTGGGGCAGGCATGTTAGTATTGATTGGTTGCATGCGAGAGAATCAGAAGAGAGGAAGGGGATAGAAAGTGGTGAGAAAAAGAAATACTTACTATCATCCCAATCTGTTGTAAAAATGACATGTTTAACTTTGCACCTATGCTTGTCCAATGCCTTTGCAAGACTCTCTACAACTTTCTCCCCATCTCCTCTTGCCCGATGCCCAAAAACAACTACCTTTGGATTTCCCTTCTCCTCGCAGTTGAAAACTGTTTGTTTCAACCTTCTAATCGCATACGAGAAAGGAGAAAGCGTTGCTTCTTCACAAACGCTCATGGCAAACCATTCTGCAGCTTTGGGGATCGTTTGAAAATGATGCGCACCATCGAGAAACCAGGAATTCTGTCCTACTTCTAGTCTTTGAAATCGGCCGGGCCAGAAAAATCGATCGAGTCCGATTGAGATATCTTCAGAGGAGAGAGGTGGATATTTTTCGCTATAGAGAGATGAGAGATATGCATCTGTGAGTGCAAGTGCAAGAGAGCATTCGAATCTCTTGATGTCGGTTTTGAGTGCATGGGCGGTGATTGGAAGACGATGATCCTCGCTTACGAAGTTCAACGCGGCGCCTTTTTCATTGGCACGTGTTTCGAGAACTTTTCCTATCTCAGGACCTTGAGGAATGGAAAATGCAGGAGCGTCAATTTTCATAATGCCTCCTGCATGCCAAGCTAAGTCTTCAGTAGAAGGGCCACCTTCTTCAATATAATCTGCGTTGATTTGTGCGATGCCTACAGCTGTTGGCTTGACAAAATTTGTAGCGTCCGTTTCTCCTCCACAATGAGTTTCCATGATCACCACATCAACGTCTTCACCCATGAATGTATAGACAGCGACCAACAACCTCAATTGCATGAAATCCGGCATCATTGTCTCAACAAATTTGCTGGAAAGAATCTCCCATACCTGGAAAAAATATCTAGCAAATTTATCTTCTGATACTGGCTTTGCGTTGATCTTGATTGGCTCGCGGATGTTAGGAGAGTAGGGATTGGTGTAGAGCCCAATTTTTCTCAAGACACCTGTCCTAGAAGCATAAGATGAGAGGAAAGATTTGACAAACATGCAAGTGGATGCTTTGCCTTTGGTTCCCGCAATGTGAATCACCTTGAATTCTTTGTGCTGTGGGGATAGTCAGAAAATATCTCCAGTATCGAAAGAGACTACTCACAGTATATCCAAGTGCTTCAAGCCACTCATTCATACCATCATTGCCGTGCTTGGTTGGATTGCCTCCTAGTGTACTGAGTCTGTTATTATTTGGCTCTGTGGAGGAATCTTCTCCGTCACTACTGCCACAACCTGTTCTCCTGAGTAGTTGAGAGGCTCTGCTACGTCTATTAGGCTTAACACGGTCTTTTCTACTCTCAAGTAGTGAAATGGCGTTCTGATTATCGTTAGTACATCTTGTAATAATATCAATAGGGAACCTACTCTGTAAGATCGCTCCATTTTGCGCCGATTTTTTATTTTTTACCTCAGCTTGCGTTGGTTGCAGCAACTGAAAGAAAGGGAAAAGGCCAAGCAACAGACAGAGTTGGAGGAAATGTAGTGTCTTATCCCAACACATGACGTCGATTTAGGTCTTGTTGGGCAGGCCGCACTTTTCACATTGGCAAGCAAGGCAACGTCACTGGCTAGGCCATTCTTTACTATATTGCACCACTATAGACCGTGGAGGATTCGATGATTGGTCTTAGATGGTCTTTTCAATGGTGAGGCTCAGTGAGTTGCAAGATATTTTGCCATTGAAAACGAGAATAATAAACGCCTAGGCGTAGGATTGTTGGTGAAAATGCAGATGTGGTCTATTATCTGACGAGCCTGGGTCGGGGCCCAAACTTCACACTTCAGAATAACGATTTCCCATCCTGTTGGACGTAAATCAATAATACAGTCGCGGCTCATTCTCACAACATCTACCCTGTAAGAATCGTTGGCCTTCGCATGGGGCAGTAATCCAACAAATCCCCCAAACAGAATGTATGACCGTTCCTTTCAGCCCTGTAGGGTTTCGCGAGGATACCTGAACGAATCGTGGAGACCCTAATTTTTTTAGCGCGTGTTGAGAATTAGTAAGCAACAGAAACTATATCGGCCCAGGCCAGGCTCCAACGCAAACTTCACTCATCGACACAACGACACAACACAGATTTATGGTCACAAACCTCAAGAAGATATGTGTGAAAACAACACTTAAACTATTTGATCGAAGTTGTATATTATGGAAGCCTGAGACATTCGAGGTGCTTTAGATCTCACTCATCAAACACATCTATGAGCCCTCCCTTCAGGTCAGAGCATGATGAGTAAGCACAATATGTGAATCATGAGCTCTGTTTTACTGAGAACTTCCACCAAACCATTTGACGAAGCTCATTCTAACAGAGTCCCCGACCAAATTCACCATCCTGCTAATATTCACAGCCGGTATCTCCAGCCAGCACTGCACGCATGTATTTGGTGCCAATACCAATTTGCACTGAGCTCTTCTCGAATTTCGAGGATTTATTCCATTCCGTATCACAGGTTTTCCGAATTGTGATTGTCGACAGGGACCCATAAATCGTCCACCTTCAATTCTTTACATTCGGTAATTCGAATCCAAGTTTTGATATACTTTACAAATCATCAAAACTGTCAGCCCTCTTCTTACGGGAGCCTGTAGAGGTACTTACAAAACTTGTTGTGTTCCTGCATAGACTGCAATATCTCTGATTGAGAATCGTATTCTATCTTAGGAAACTACCCGGTTCTGAAGCCCATTACTTAACATCCAGAATTGATGGTAAGTTCCTTCCCCATAAGCAGTTCACAAGACCGATCACATGTAATATGTTGTTCGTTCAGGTGGCAATAGTCAACTTGTCAGAGTTGTAACACCAGAAATATTAAGGTTGAGAGTCAAGAGTAGGTGACTGCCTTATCTCTGTCTTTGAACAGAAGGTTCGTCTGGAACTCCTATAATTGAGGGGGGGGTTTTTTTTTAGGAATGTCCGGAATTGTATTCGGGAAA